TCCATCAGGGTGTGGGGAACCCACTGCACACAGATTTTCTGGACCTTCAGATGCTGTGTCAAGATGGCTAAGCGGTACCGTGACTAATGCCCAACATGAGCTGAATGTCTTCCACTGACCGCTATCAGTCAGTGGAAAAATTAATAAGTGAGTCATAAATTTCACTTCCTGACACTCCTTTCGCAGTCAAAAAATGCACTACACCTCACTGTTCCTCTTTCCCAGCCTCCACAGTGATGTCGGATGCACACGACTCACTGACCTCACTTCGAGCACATCTAACAGACAAATGGCACAGTGGTGGACATTCACACTGTTCCTTCCTGATTCCCAATAGAGGTCACTTCTATACACACACCTACCTGCATTACCAACTTCTGCACCACGCTCATTATACAGTCTGTCTCATTTTCATTTGACTGCCCCTTATATATTTATTTATTTGATTAGCAAAACAATTTGATTAATTTATGTAATTTCATGAAATATTTTATAGATTATAACTTATATTTACAACATATTTTTAGATGTATGTAATTCCATTTACAAATTTTCTTATAAACAGAAGTTGTATATAATTCTTGATTTGATGCTGAATGTTTTGTAGATTTAAAAAAATTATAAATATATTCTTATTACAATGCATTTTATTTCTGCTGTTTTAAAAAGAATTTTTAGTTTATAACAACAAAACATTAAAATATAACAGAAAATTTCCTCTGTAGTTTTCAATTCAACTTTAATTTTAAAAATATATTTATTATTCATTCATTGATATTTTGAAAATTATATCAGTTAATTCAATTTATTTATAAAGCTTTCATAAATTTAGCTAGTTATTCATAGTTTAATATAAAATAAAAAAAGATTGATGTTTGATCGTATTTCTTACACTAAAATAACAGACACAAGAGAGAGCTTTAAAAATTCATGCAAGCTAACCAAAATTGATGATGTGACTACAAAGTTGATATAAATAACTGCATATTATCCCTTAGGCATTCTTTTTGATATTCATTCAATGTTTTATTTATTTTTTATCTGACAAACTATTTTAAAGAATAAATAAATTTTTCTGTCATTAATTTAAGATTATATATAAAAAATTAAAAATAAATTCTATATATAGATATAACAGGTTATTATAATTAAGATACACCTATTCAAAGCTGTCAGAGGAGATATTTAACAGTCTGAATCAATCAAATCTGGTAAAGTGACATTTCAAGATATGCAGAAGACATTTCCATAAAAACTCACCACTAAGGTACTTTCACACTGCAAGCAATGAAAAAGTATGTATTAAGTTAACATTAATAAATAGCCCTGATGACATTCTTATCAACTATGAAGGCCAGAGCATCAAGAGCTTGTATGGGACTCAGGAGTAGTGTTTGGTCCCTTCTGTCATGTTTTATAATTATTTATTGAAATGTAAAATGTTTATGTATATATACAGTCAAATAACCTTAAAGTCAAAAATTGATATTAAGCGTAACAGATAAATTATATTTTAACTTTTAAGTTAAAATTTTTAAGTTAAAGGAGCTAAAATTTAAGTTTTATTTGTGATTTATTGTACATTTTTTAAATTAGATTTGTTTTAATAAACATCGTTAAAAAAATTTAAAGTAACAACTTATTAAATATGCATCCTGCTGGCAATTTTGAGAACAGTTAACTCAGACTTCATCAATGAATAATGTTTCGTACTAAATTACTGTATTTAAATAAATGACTTGGCAAATGAATTGGACCTTAGTTTTAATCCTATAAAATAAAATATACCCCAATAAATGAAAAAAAGCTTTCATATTTATAGGTAGTGAAATATAGAAAACAGTTACTGAATTATTTGTTTAAAAGAAACTTTATAAAAAAGAATGATGAATTAAAAAAAAATGCTAATAAAAATGCTACATAAAAGTGATGTACACTTTTATTATTATTATTAATTTATCTTTCTATTTAAAATAATAATAATAATTCTCAACCATACATGATCATGCAAAAAATTTTTTTAACTGTTATTAATAGTTTTAAATGTGATATTTTCATAAATTATAAAAAAAAATCATTGTAGACCATCTGGATGCATCCTCATCATAAAGAAAACAAAACTTCCATCTATTAAAAATACACAAAAAACATTTTTAACAATAACAAATCAATGAAAAACAAACTTTCTATATGGCTTTTGTGTAACAAAAAAAAAGAAATCTCACTCACTCAATCAGAAAGGAGTTTCAAACAGAAGCTTATTACTTTTAAATCTCTAATATTGATAGATAAATAAAATAAAATTCTAGAACAGTTACTTTTGCAATGAAAGTATAACAATTACATTCATTTATATAGATACTACTTTAAAAAAAAAAATTAAATTCTAACTATAACTTCAGTTGTTGTCCTGGAAAATTTTTAAAAATTGCAAATCATTTTGCCAGATTTTAATATTTTTTGCCATTTTAAATTCTTTATTGCTACCAGTTTTACTTATTAATGCAAGTGCTGGTAGTTTTATCAGTTTGGAGTAAGAAAAACAAAAGTAACACGTTAAGTTGTCACTTATAAATAGGAATAATTTTTTAAACGAATAATTCCAAAGACATTTGATTGCAATGCTTAAACAATATTTCAATAGAGCAACCCTTACCCCCAATTGCAACACTTGAAAATGAATCTTTTTCTGCATTGTGATACAGTATTTGTAATGGGGCGGAAAGTCCCATTCTGTTTGGAAGAAAGAAACCATTACATTCAACTTGCCTCTATGGTAAATATTGGACTGGATCAATGCAGCTGAAAAATTATGCAAATCGACTGCAAAGTGTATAAGGAGATAAAAGATAAGTAAGGGAGAAATGGAACAGAGGTGAAAGGAGAGGATTCATAAGTAACACATTGCCATTATTTGCAAGACTGAGACAGGAATACCTTAGTGCAGATAGGCAATAGAGTTTCAATATAATAAGAGCCAAATCCGAATCCATATTATCAAATGTTTATACATGGATGAATGGAAAAAGAATGGGAATGAGAATATCAAGAAAACTTGCAAACATTCCCATGAGAAAATCAATAAAGCTGTATTGGAATGGTTTAACCATGCACGTGTGAAAGGTATCCCTATCATAAGATCGTAGATGAAAGGGAGAAGGGGAAAAGTCATGCAGAAAAATTTACAACTGAAAGTTGAAAATTTTTCTGCATGGCTGGCATGCCATATTCCCATGACTGATACCCTAAAATGGTTGATGGTGATGCATGAGATAAAATTCAATCTCAATCAAGAAATGTTTCTAGTACTGCTGTGGTGAAGAATAAGAAATAGTAAATGCAGATTCCTTAGGCAAAGAAATAGAACAGCTGGCAGTAGTTGCTGATGCAGACATGTATATTGAGGTAATTACTGAGAATAATTGAACCAAATATTTACAGGAAAATTGGGAAGAATGTCTGAGGATTTGACATAGAGAATAAAAATGACACAGAGGACAATTCTAATAATGAATGGTTGCAACCTTCACCTATGAAATTAAGAAAAGTTCTTGAAATGCTTGCCAGACAAATCACTGACAAATAAGGTTAGGAAACACCCATCTGTGAAGTTAACTTCACTGAATTACTACACGGTTGATTGTGCGTTATGATATGCACAGTTTTTCTAATTTGTGTTGATATCGATAAACAGTAGTACAATGTAACACCCATCTGGAAACTCTTTGTGCAAAGTAGGAGAGGAATTTAAAAATAAATTGTGCTGTAAAAAACATCATGCTTAAAACAAGTGAAAATTAATGTTTTTTTTTATTTGGAATACTGCTATGTTTTAATTTTGTATCATTAAAGTGTGGTTTATTATTTGATTTAATGAAAAACCTACCAAAGTGAATATCTCTCTTAAAGGTCACTTTTGCTCAGAACTATTGGTGGTCACAGAGGGGTTTTACTGTATTTGATTAATGTTTACAATGTACATTCAAATTTAAAAACTAATTATTATTGTACATTCATTAAATTTAATCAATTACAATTACATTAAGATACAAGATATTAATATCTGATGACAGCTTAATTGCTAATGAAGTTAAATTCATAATTTATTGAAGATTGTATATAATATATAAATAAAAACAATTCTGCAAAAGTTAGATGTATGAAAAATCCTTTGGAGAATAAATACTATATTATTGCAGTAGAGCATCGATCAACCGAAATGTCAATTAACCAAAAGCTTTCCAGTCAACAAATTTAAATTTACTCTAGTGCTGTGGCACTGCAATCTTCAGCTATGTCTTAGGCTACTCCAATATTATTTTTGTTGGTGTGCGTGTTTTAGCTGACAGCACTATGAGAGGGTACTTAAGGACATGCCAGGATTTGAATGAATTTCAGCATGGGATAGGTTAATTAATATATTTTTTCGTATGTAATCAGTTATCCGAAAAATCAATTTTCAGAACAACCCCAGTCCCCAATTGATTCGGATAATCGATGCTCTACTGTATTATCATGCTTTGAAAATAAAAATTAAACCCAAATCTTTTCCTCTTCTATGAATTAATTTAAACAACATAAATAATGAATTGAACTATATTTTTTTCTCTCTATTGATCTATGAAATCTTAATTCAGGAGTCCCCAAACTTTTCAACTGTTAATTCCTTCAGGGATTTTTCAAATTTTTATTGCCTCCCTTTTCTTTTTTACTAATACAGTTATTAATAATTAAATCTGATGAGCCAGTGTTAATCTATACACTGTTTTCACAGAAAGGATCTACTTACGATGTGCAAATCTACATCCTGGACTATCATATATGTAATCAATTCGATTAACAATTTTTAATTAACCATTTTCAATTGATCTCAGACTAATTTTCAATTCCAAAAACTGCCTTATCAGTTCCTGGGGTCAATATCAACAAACTATTTTGGGAACTCATCTTAATTAAATAATTTATAAAACTAAAAAACAAAAATGTAATAAAATACTTACTTGGGACCTTGAATCTATATCATCATGGGCTCGACCTGTTTTTAAATAATAAAAAAAATTACTTTATATTAGAAATAATAATAAAAAGTTATGAAGATTCTCTTAAAATTTAAAAAATCATATGTATTTTATTTACTAAAATAAAAAAAAATTTAAGTACATCATCAAAGTATATTTAAATAAGTAATAAGAAAGACAAAATTTAAAATGGACATAGCTTTATTTTCTAATTAATGTATGATAATACTACAAAACATGTTTTTTACATCCAGGGAAGTAAAGATGATTTCTTAGCCTGTATTTTGAAAATTAGCAAGAAAATGTCACATTATGTCATGTTCAAAACAAAACTATGTTAGAATGATTTTCATAGATACATGATGGGAAAACTAAAAAAAGATTTTTGAAATCAGGAGTTTTTCTATGGGAATCATCTATTTTAATACCAAAGGTATAAAAAATTTTTTATACCTTTGGTATTATACTATGGTGAGAAGAATTCTTTGTGTTTTTTAATGTAAAAGTGTTAGATCCTACAATAAAAGGCTGACACTTGATCATTTTTAACGTTGTGAATTTTTTACCTATTTTTACCTTTGTTTTAAGAAGTATTTTCTTCAAAACCATGTTAACTGTTACTTCTGTGGTTGTATAAAAGGATTAAAAGATAGACTCAAAAATGTAATATTTTTGTAAATAGTCTAAACTTCAATTATGAAAAAAATTTTTGTTTGCTAGTATAGTTCATATATCTAAGGTATTTTAATATGTTTTAATGTGTGCTTTGCTTCTTCTATAATACAAAATATTTAATTGTATGTTCATCTTTTGAGTTTTTTATCAATGATAAATTTTTACATTGTGCCACGACCAGAGGGACAATTTTAATAAGTTTTAAATACTGAGACAGAGATTTGTTAAAATAAAATTCAACTCTATCACATGACTTTGTGTTCTTGAGATGTGTGTAAAGGGACAGATAATGATAATCTCTTAATTTTTCTTCTATTATAATTAGAATTTTCTTCTATATATTGATTTACAAATTTTAACTAAAAGTTACTGGAAATTTTAATGGAAATTAAGATATTAATTTAAAATAACTTACAGATTAAAATATTTACTAAATAATAAAGTATGTAAAATAATCAAAATGTTAATCTTCATATTAAAATTAGAATAAATTATTAATTTAAAAAATTTAAAGGTTAAAAATAGTTTTGATATTTTCACCCGAAAACAAATAATTTGCTAACATTCTAACTACAGAAATATTTTAATGAAATTTTTAAGCAATTTATTAATAACTGCAATTTCTACAGGCAATTTTATCTACATAAATTAAATTCCTTTTAAATAAATATGTACTTATCAAATAAAGTTTATCATTATTACTATGAAATAAATTAATTTAAAATACTGAAAATTTTATTATTAAATAAATAATGATAAATCAGTTTTATTTTTAATTATAAAAAAATATGAATTTCCATAGATAGCATCTGTAACAAAATTAAATTGCTTTTTTTTTATGAGGAATTAATAAAATAACAGTAATAGAAAGACTAATTTAAAGAAAATTATTATTTAAATTATAGAAATGTTTTATGTATAATAAATATGCATGTAAATTAATCAGTATTTATGCAATTATAGAGAACTAAGTCAATCAATGATTCAAAATGATTCATTTAATCTTTAATAAATAAAACTAAGTTCAACGTTTAAAAAACTTTTTTAACAATGTTTTATAAACTTTTGTTTGTAAACTATTTGTAAATCTTCAAACCAAACAATAATAAACTTTTTGGTATAATTTCAATGGTTTTCACGTGAAAAAAAAATTAAACAGCATAAAAACTTACTAAAAGAAAGATTCAAATTTGGTTTCTTTTATAATTATATAAAAGCACTCTGTCCAAAACACATGTTAGCAGTTATTTATATATAACTTCTAACATGAAACATACTTATCAAATACATTCATATAAATACATACATATATATATACACACACCCACACACACACACAAATGTATTAGATGTAATTATAAACAGAAAAACTGAATCATAGTAAATAAAATTGAAATATGCAAATGAGAAAATTAAGATATCTGATAATATACTGTAACAAATTTGCAAATTTAAACAATCATAGATAATTCTAGGTGATCATTTACGTGTAAAAAACTTAAAACATTAATTTAAAAACAGTTTTATAATTTGCAATTAAATTCTAAATGAAATTTTTAAAAGTTAAATGTTTAATCTTCCAGATTATTATCTTTTAACATTTAAAAACATGTTTACAGGTGATAAATAATATTACCAGATAAAGAAAGGCAAAGAATTGTAAAAAAAATTATGGGTAACATAAAATTAATAAAAGTGTACACTTTTATTCTTATGTTCAATCATTAACAAACATAAAATCCATTTTTATGATGTAATAAATTAATTGCTATAGTGTTAAGTTTAGCCATAATATAAATTTCAAATGTTATTAATAAACTATGAATTCATTTATTTCTACTACTATTTTATTTAAATGGAAATTATTGTGAGAAAAATCATGAGTAAACCCTTAACATAAATACATAATAATTATAATTTCATATAATATATAAATTTAGTTTAAATTATATTCTTATACACACGCAAACAAACAAAAGTGTATTTAAATCTTAAATCTGAAAGTTGTTGGAATATGCACTGTATAAGTAAGATAAATACATTAAAATATTTTTCTTAAATTTGACTTTAAAGGTCATTCAGTATTGAATTTCAGATCAATATCTATTGAAGAATACAGTGGATGATTGGTTAACAAACATAATCCGTTCCAAGACTGTGTTCGCTATCTAAATTGTTTGTTAACCGATTATCAATTTACCATATAAAATATAGTGTTAAAATTCAGTATAATTCTCTACTTAAATTTCTATTTTTGATAGGTTAATATATTCTATAAATCATATACTAATGATATATTAAATAATATTATGTTCTTATACTTTAGTATCTGAATTACTTACAAAACAAAAAGTTAGTGAGCAAACTTATAAAAACAATTCAATTAAAATGAAATTACAAAAACTTTTACATAAGATTTAATATACATAAAATTTAATATAAGTTTATATTATATTGATAAGCTCATTTATACATATTCAGAACAAATAAGGATGTAATAGACAGAGATTAACTTAGCATTAAGACATTTTGCCAATTTTTTTTTTAAATAAAGAACTCTAAGTTATTAAGAAAATTACTCTCAAACTAACAGTCTAACTGTGATTATGATACAAATATTTAATTAATAATAACTCAAATAAATTAAATTTCATGAAGTTTAATTTATGAACTTTAAATCAAGTAGTGTATTGAATTAAAATATCTGAGTCATTTATATGGTATATCTCTCATGTCTTAAAAAAATAAGAAAGAAACTTAAAAGAAAGAAAACAAAAATGCTTTCAGTAGTCCATAAAGACAGTATTAATTATTATATTGTATGAATGTCATCATTACTATAGACAATCGGTTTTTTTTATGTTAAAATGACAAATTAAAGAAGAGAAAATTTTTTTAAAAAATTATTCAAACATTTTCAATATTTACAAAAAAACAATTGTTTTTCAGGAATACAATGGTGCTTATTTATTTTGAAGATTTTTTTTATTTTCTTTAATTCATCATTTTTAACAACAAAAAGCAAATTTCTTCTTTGCTTTGAGGCAAGTGCTATATACCTCTTCCATCTTATTTATGTCATGATTATCTCTTTTCTTTTAAAATTTTCAGAAGATAAATAACTTTTAAGAATTCGATTTTGTTGAGTTATAAATTTATTCCTATAAGTAAACCAATGAACAAACATATACATAATTAACATTTATCAATGCCAATTATTTTAACTGATCACTGTTTCACATATAAAAATTTAGAATTCAAAGGAATTTACAAACTTTTTAAAATAAACAGCTTAGTTTTTTTTAAATAGATTTGTCCCTTATTGTATTTTCTCTTCTTTAATAAACTAATATCCAAAAACATTAACCTAATATTTATCAACAGTCATTCAAAGATAAACTAAAATTTAGATGGTGAAAGTATGTTCAACTGTGAATGAGAGTCAAATTTATCTTAATTGATAATGCTGTGATAATAAGCAAAATAGATAACACATTTCAAAAGATATAGTTTTAAATTATATTTGAATACCTCATGCACCTTCCTGTCATCTAATATCATTCAAAATGAAATTTCTCTCTCACAGTACATGAATTATGTCTACCAAAGAAAACAGATCAAAGAAAATAGTTTAAAAATTAGTTTAATCTTCAAGAGTGATTCAAAATTATATTAGCTCTTGTGGCTTATCCACAATCAAACTTATTACTTTCTTCTGATCATCATTTTATTTTTTTGGGTGATTGTAGATACACAAATTAACATTCAAAATATTAGCTTAAACAAAACCAATTAATTAGCATGCAATGATATAAAAAATGAAAGAAAAGAAAAAACAAAGTAGTTATGACAAAACAGGAAAAAAACTTTTCATATATTACGAAAAAAATATTTTAATAAACAGACCTTCAGTTTTTTAATTCTGCATTTCTGTATATGAAACAATTGTGTCAATTAAAAAAAAAATGAGCAATGACAACTGGCTCTACAATAAGTACATATAAAAATATTTCTATAATAATTTAAATATCATTCAGTTAGGTTACAGCAAGTCGTTACTTAATGTCTTCAATTGGTTCTTCAAAATTGAGATGTTAGCAAAATGACAAAACTAATTTTGTCATTCAATAAATGGCTTTCAAAAATTTCTATAACAGCCAAATACATGTGATATACTGACCTATAAATCACAATATAATATGGTCTTGTTTTACAGAGAGGTTGTGAATCATCATATACTAAATAAAGCAAAAATCCACATAGTACCCAAGTAGTCCCAGATGACTGCCTACACACTTATGCAAAATCATTTACAATTATCAAAACATTATGATAT